CCACCTCCTCTCCCTCCTCCACCTCCTCTCCCTCCTCCACCTCCTCTTCCTCCTCCACTTCCTCTTCCTCCTCTCCCTCTTCTTCCTCCACCTCCTCTACCTCCTCTTCCTCCTCCACTTCCTTTCCTTCCACCTCTTCTTCCGCCACCTCCTCTCCCTCCTCCACCTCCTTTTCCACCACCTTCTCTCCCTCCACCTCCTCTTCCTCCACCTCCTCTCCCTCTTCTTCCTCCACCTCCTCTTCCTCCTCTTCCTCCTCCACTTCCTCTTCTTCCACCTCCTTCCACCTCCTCTTCCTCCACCTTCTCTCCCTCCACCTTCTCTCCCTCCACCTCCTCTTCCTCTCCCTCCTCTCCCTCCTCTCCTTCCTCTCCCTCCACCTCCTCTCCCTCCTCTCATTCACAGTTGCCTCTTTCTGAACAGGTTTCTGACTGACCTCAGGCAAATCCTTTTTATTTCCTTAAAATTCTGCCTGAAAACTCTTCAGTGGTTTCCTAGCATTTTCAAAGTAACAAATCCTAAGTCTCCAGGTGCCTATCAATAAAAAAAAATGGTCTTTTCATTTTCTTGGCATTTGCCTTTCTATATGATTAGAATTCAAGACATATATTATCATTCATATTTGAAAACCATCCAGTCCCTACTTTCACTTCCAAATGCAGTATAGGGATCAGTGTGGGAAGACTTTATAGTATAGGGTAGAGGGATCAGTGTGGGTAGATGGCAGGGAGTCTGGAGGAAGGGATTTCCAGAGCAAAGAGGTAAACAGCACCCTAGGGAGGGTGGGGGGGGGGGGGGGACGGGGCACTGCAGGTGGCCTGGCTGACTGCAGCAGAGGGCAAGGAGGAAATTTCCAGAACTCTGCTGCCCGTGAAACCACTCTCCAGTTTTCAAACAAGCATTGTGTTCCCTGTCTCTGGATCCTTGTTCCTGCTGGGGTCTACCCTTACAGCAAGTACCTCCATTGACCTCCATTCCCAGTTCAAACACTTCCTCCCTGTAAAAGTGTAAAAGTCTTTCAGTTTTCTCGACTCTCCTGCCAGAATCAATTACCTTTCTTTTGGACTCTTCCAGCTAGCTGCCCAAACCGCCACTAACATATCCATAATATGTGTTACTAGTTGGGATACATCTACCTCCCAGTTGGCTATCTAGTGAGTTCACAGGACAGAAAGGTAAGTTTTACATTCTTTAAAGATCTCCAGGCCCGCAGCAGTCCTCAGCAGGCGGGAGGGAGAGCGACGAAATGGAGCAGAGACTAAGAAAATCAAAGCCATATCAACGGAGGGTCAGGCTTGGGCACAGTGGGCCTTGGGCCTTCCTGGAAGGAACAGGGTGGGGATGACGGCCCTAAGGAATATTCTTACTCTAGCATTTTAAGATCTGATGACAAAGCAGACTGGTTTGTTCAGGGTCCAAGCACCCTTCCTGCCAGGAGGGCTTGATTCTGATACGCTCTGATGACAATTAGAGGGGCCCTGTGAGAAGTCAGGAGCCACAGTCTGGGCACCAGGCAACAAGAGAAGCAGCCCCCACCACAAACCGCACTGTCTCCATGCCTTCTCCCACAGTCGGCTCCCAGGACCTCCACAGTAGCCACTGAGTTTCTAGACATAGAGTTTCATTCTGACTCTCCTCACAGTAGACCCTCCTTTCATCAGCCGATCTGCCTAAAGGGATAAGAGAGGGAGGGGCGAGGCTAGGGAGCAGCCAGGGGCTGGTCACCACCTGGGGCATTTCCCTGGGAGGTTGGGGGGGGGAGCTGAGGTGGAACAGCCAAGGGCAATTTAGAGTGGAATCCTGGCAACTAGACTTTCCCTAACTCTCATCAATGCTGACTATGATGCAATGAATACAGTTCCTTGAAAGGCAGGCGGGTTTCACCAAGGGTTAGAGAAAGGGTGGTTGTTTTTCTTAGACTGGAGTGGGAAAGGTCATCAGCGGCAGAAGGCCAAGAGCAAAGTATTTGTTGATCTTTTTGTTTTGTTTTGTTTGAAACCAGGTATTGCTGTTTAGGCTAGCCTTGAACTCACTATGTAGCTGAGGCTAACCTTGGTCTCCTGATCCTCCTGCTTCTAGTGCCCTAGGGCTGAGATTATAAGCACGTGTTACCACACTTAAGATTGATGGATTTGATTAGCCAGAAATTGAAAACTTCAGTTTGAGAACAAATCACATATTGAACTTCCCACAAAACACCATAGTTAACGTTTAAAGATAAGTTTAAGGAATATTGGC